TATTGCTGTGAAGATACACCATGACCATGGCAACACTTATAAAGGAGAGGATTTAATGGGGACTTGCTTGCAGTTTCAGAGGCTTAGTTCATCATCATCATGGTGGGAACATGGAAGCATGAATGCAGACATAGTTTTGGAGAAGTAGCTGAGAGTTCTACATTCAGACCACAGGCAGCACAAACAGAGAGTGAGCACCATGCCTGGAGTGGACTTTTGAAACCTTAAAGCCAACCTCCAGAGACCTACACCCCTCCAACAACACCACACCTACTACAACAATATCATACCCCCTAATCCCTTTCTGGTAGTGCCACTTTCTCATGACCAAGCCTTCAAATATATGAACCTATGGGGGCCATTAAAACCACTATATTTCACTCATGGAGCTTCAAGGGCTAGTAACCATATTTTAATGCAGAAATGTGTTCAGTCCATCTTCAAAAGTCCCCGTTTAAAAGTACAAAGTTCAAAGCCTTTTCTGACATTCAAGGCAATCTTAACTGTAACCCCTGGCAAAATCAAAATCAAAAAGCAGATCATATACTTCCAACATACAGTGGCACAGAATGTACACTATCATTTCAAAAGTGAGGAAAGGGAGAATAGTAAAGAAACACTGGACCAAAGCAAGACTGAAAATAGCTGGGCAAACTCCAGTCTCTGTATCACTATGTCTGATATCAAAATGCTCTTTAGATTTCCAACTCCTTTCAGCTTCACTGACTGCAACACACTTCTTTCTCTTAGGCTGGGTCTACACTCTGTCAGCTGCTTTCCTGGGCAGCTATCTCATGACTCTGGCACATCCAACATCATGTGGTAACCATCAATATCTAGGCTTCACTTTCACAGCTTTACACAATAGCCTCTCAGAGCTTCCATGCAGGGACATCCCTGACACACACTTGGCCTTAGTCATGGAGACAGATTTCACAACCCCCACATAACCCCCCACATATACAAACACACACACATGCACATACCTGCATACTCACCCCCTACACAGACCACACACAATTAAAAATAAATCTTCAGAGGAGATCAGAAAGGAGAGGAGAACCTTCCCTATCGGTGAACTTGGGGAGTGGCATGCATGCAGAAAGGGGAGGGAGGGTGGGATCGGGAGGGGAGGAGGGAGGGGCTTATGGGGGGATACAAAATGAATAAAGTATAATTAATAAAAAATTAAAAAGAGAAAAATAAAGCAGTTCAATTTCTTGATTCTCAACCCTCATCAAGCTTTTTTTTTCCTTCTTTATGTTTTCCTCTTTATTTTCTCCTTTCTTTCTTCCTTCATTCTTATTTCCTGTTATTTATTTATCTATTTTTTGCCTTTTCAGTGAAGCATATCTCTAACTGAATATAAGATCTGCCTTTCTTTGCTATAAGCAGAAGACAGGAGTAAAATTTAGCAGCACTGATAAATATGCATACTTCTCTGAATATTCATGATTCTGAGTTACTCTATATATTTGAAATTTATTATTTATTTTATACAATCTACTATTTATTTACTTATATGTGCATCATATAGATGCATATGGAAACCATGAAAAATAGTCCTCATAATTTCATAATTTTATTATTATGAGCTATTGAAAGTGGCCTATTCCTCTCAAATTATGAAAAATACAGTCTAGTTAAGGAATATTTATTATTACTCAACAAAGAGTTATCAAATGTTTAACATGGTCCAGAAAATGGATGGAGGATATAATGATGAAAAATTAGTCTTTACTTTTGTAGTTTAAAACCAATCAATGTTTGTGTTGTTAATATAAATGCACTACAATAAGATATATTAATAGGTAGATTTTATGCAATGTTCCATTTACCATTGAAAAGTAGAGAATGAGAATGACCAAGTAGATCAATGGCTACATAATAATACCCAGAAACATTAATTACTACAGAGAGTCAAAAAGTGAGATGCAAGGCTTTCTGTTATGCATGAATATTATGAGGCTACACGTTGTCTTAAATTGGGGCTTCATAGATTTTTATTTAGGTATAGTAAAAAATAATTTTTATGATATTTAAATAATGACCTCTTTGGGACACTGAGTTTTCATTACAGGTGCTCTGAGTGTTATTTGTGTATTTGTAATCTTTTAGCTTCTTTCTCTAATGTTTCACAGATGGAGTTTATTCATCTGTCCTCTGTTATGTACGAAGCATTCCTTTTAGCTTCTTAGATTTTCTGGAATGGAATAGATATTTTCATAAATTTCCTTTTCTTAAATCTCTATTAATTTGTAACCTCTTAACTCTCCCATAGTTAGTCTGTATGCTTGAGTAACTGAGGTTCCATTAAGAGGATAAAACCATGACAAGCTGAGACACAAAAGCTACATGCATAGGCCCTTTTAGCAGGTATGGCGCTAGTTCTGGGATGCACAGAGCTGGGGAGAAGGGAAGTGCAAGGGAGTAATGGAACTTAGAAGATTAAAGTGAGAGCAGCTCTCCATCCTTTTTAAAAAACAAAGGTGGAGGTGATTGTCTAGTGTTATGTCAGAAGATGTTCCCTGCCACCATTGAAATAGAGATTACAAATATATGAAAGAAACAGGAAGAGTACAGACTCATAACATATTTAGAATGAAGAGGAATTCTAAATGAGGAAGCAATACTAACTAAAACACAGTGCTTCAGTATAGCCTGCTTGACTGGAGATCACAAATTAGTAAAGTATGAGTTACTTTATGTGGTCGGGAGTTTACCATGGAAAGGAATTTTAAAGTCAGGCAGTAACAGAGGTGTCAATGTTTTTCTAGATACATTTTCTTTTTATAACTCTGTTATCTTCTATAATGAACCCTCTTTTCTCAAGGGAAATCTATTTGGTTTAGGTTGAATGAACCCTACACAACCTAAGGACAGAAATGTGAATAAGACACGACTAACTAAACTATCCATTTTCCTGGCTGTACTGATTGCTGCAGGCATGTCAGAAATGTAAAATCTTGGAGATTTCTGTTAGAACACGCCAAGAAAATTCTCATTCTTCCATGTTTATGTGGTGGGGTATGTGACTAGGATGGCTGGGACTTTTGTTTGCTTTGTAAAGGAACACACAAGGATATGGATGATGTCTGTGAATACAGAATAGAGGATGAGATACTTGCATTCCAAGAGTGCACAAATGCGCGTATCTCATCATTTTCAGTAATCATTTACATAGTGGAATTAGTTGCTCACAACATGAAATAAGAAGGTGTCTAAGGCAAACCATAAACTCCCCCGAGAGAAAGAACATCGTCTCTTTACCTCTGCCAAGTCAAAATACTATACCCTTCTTGAATGGTAAGGTCTTTGCTGTAGCTGTATGTGATAGAGACAGTTTTAAGATTTATTTTTCTGTGTATTACACATTGGCCATTTAAATCACATTGCCTTTATTGAAGAGCCTCTTACGTTGGATACTTCCAGTCTTGATTCAGAGAGTAAAACACATTCTTTTCTAGTTTGGTTGCTTGCTTTACTTTCACCCAACAACAACAAACAATCAGAAAGAACCACTTTTTTCACATGATTGAATAACTAGAAATCATTTTACCTATAAGAAGTAAAGTATTTTCTGGTGGTTGGTGAACAGCCCTAATTTCAAATTCCTGTTTCTTTCCAAAGATACCTAGACTTACACTCAATAATATTTCTGATCCTTACCTATTAAAACTTGCTAAGCTTCTTTTATCAAGAAATACCAAAATACTAAGTCAAGTAAAATGGTTTGAAGACTACAAATCCTGTATTCACATCCACTTGGAAACTCAAAATGTAAACTAATTTAGAAGTAGGATTTTTTGCACATGTAATTGTAACAAATCAATGTCATGACAGATTAGAGTGGGTGCTAAAGCTAAACAATGCATTTTTATATTCAAAGGGCATGGTACATAAAGAGCATAGACACAGAGGCTAGCCCCAATGAAAACACAAGCAATAACTGGAGTGCTATTATACCAAGTCAGAGAATGTTGTGGAAGGCAGAGAGGCAGCAAATGCTAGGAGGGAACAGGGAAGGATTATGTCCCAAACCTTCAGGCAAACCTGCCTGAACTACACTGATTTCATTTCTGACATGTTGCCTCCAGATCTTTTAGGAAACTAAGTTCTGCTACACTGAGTTGCTTGGTCACTGGAACTTTCCCCAGTAGCTCCAGGGATGTATGTGGATGATTCATAGTATGCTTTAAATGCTAAGTGCAAATTATGCATAATAGTGGGCTGTTCGAAAGCCAACCCAGGGGAGGCAAGGGACCAGGAATAAAGTTAAAGTTAAAATATTGTGAAGAAATATTATTAAAATATCCCAATCACGTCTTAGATTCAGGTGATGTGTGAGGCAAAACTTGCAACCTATTTGTCTACACACAGTGTGGGAATCCATTAGGGACTGTGACCTGAAGCACTCCCTCACCCCTCCACAGCACTATGTTTACTGAGGCAAGAAAATGGAATGATTACCTTTGAGAGATTTACAGCCACATATATACAGAGTCGAACTGAAATGGGCTTTCATTTAATTTACTAGGGTTTACTCTATATCAGTGTTCATTGGCATTTAGATCTTTTGTTGATTGCTTAACTCAAAGACTCCTTTTAAGAAACTTAAACCTGCTTGTTTAAAAAGAAAATATCCACATGTATAATTTCTTATCATTCTTATCATTAAAAACATCATGATGATAATCTTTAACAGGATCTTCTCTGCATGTAGAGAATGAGAACATAAAAATCAGCTTTAATATTCAAACCTAGAGGTAGTTTTCAATTATCCTGAAATATAAAATCAACTAAATGAAATCCTTTCTATTTCCTGAGCTCATTGCAGCTGTGAGGTAGTAACTCTTAGCATCATTTTTCCTCTCCGTTAGTATGTAACTGAAGCTCAACTCAGAATTAAAATTCTCCAAACTTCTGGTAGATTCCTATGTGATATTTTTTTCTGTGTATTCTTTGATTAATGTACAATTTTTCTGTAACATGAAAATTACCTCATTCTGTAAGTCTCGGATCATTTTGCTCTTTCTTTCCACTTCAGTCTTCAAAAAATTAATCTGAAAAAAATAAAATATTATGGATACACATTCTCAATATATTACTATGTTTTCTATTTTGCATTACTTTGAGGTATACGAAAGTTATTATGGTTTTAATGTAAATATTGAAAAGAAAGGATTAAAGTTTTCGTTAACCAAAACCTTTAATTTTCTTGATATTTGTTCAATTTGTTCATTATATATTATTATAAAAAGTGTTCATTGTATAAAAGTTGTGTAATTCTCAAAAACATAATTTTTATATTAGTGAAATTTATTCATGTTTATTTAATACCAATTAATGTACATTAGTTTTAAAATTAATTGTGAAATCAAACAAGTTTTGGTTACTGATAAAAAACTTAACCAAGGTGATGAAGATTACTATAATTGATATAACTCCAAATACAGTTGGTTAAATAATTTGGGTTCCTACGAAAAAAAGAACAAGGCTGCCAACATTGATCTTTATCTTCTACATCCATCCTTTCGTGGTGGCTTCTGTTATCATATTTCCCAGGCAGTGTGTACAAGAAATCCACAACACAGCAAAAACAAAACAAAACAAATAAACAAACAAATATTGACTCAAAAATATAGTGGCATCTACTGTCTTTTCCATGGTATTTCTGCTAAGGCTCCAAGAGAGAGCCACTTGCTGTGTATCTCAGGCAGATGAAAGATGTTATTGACCACCATTTAGCATGTGGTGAGTCAAATGTGCTCACATGATTAGTAAGAAGAGCAGATTTCAGAGAGATGAAATGAAGTTTCATGGCACCTGAGTACTGATATTTGCTTTCCATAAAGGGCTGCTGGAACCTACATTACCTGTATGTGCCCTGAATGCACGAACATAGCTTCGTTACTGAAAACTCAAGCTAAACCATTTGAAAGTGAAGGCATATATAAAGCAGGAAATGAAGAAGAACTACCATGTTTATTGCTTTGGTCATTAATTATCAAGGTAAAGTTGAACTAGAGGGATGTTAATGTCAAGGAAATACCATTAATCACATTCATTGTCTATTAGGTAGAGAATTCAAGACCAATGGTAAAACAAAAAAATTACCTAAAAGGGCATGATGATACTTTAACTTCTATGTTTGCAGAACTATGACATGCCTATTGATGGAAGATTTCATAACTTGTTCTATATTAGTATTTTGTTGATAATAAAAACTTTAAATCATGAAATAGCAATCTTAGTTTTATACATAATTTTCTTCACTGATGCCAGGCCCACATATGTTGCTATATTAAAATTCACATTTAGGGCGGCGCCGGGAGGGCTCTCATTCTGAGGAGCAACACAGCAGGATTGGCACAGTGACCAGCAATCAGAACTCGCGGCCATAAAACACAAGTGATTGTGTTTCACAGGTGAGAGGATACCTCAAGGTGGGGGATTCAATCAGCTTTAACTCACCCAGCTAAACCGCGGAAGAGATCCCGGTTCCGCCAGGCGCTAGGTCGCCAGCCCAGAGCTACCTGCCAGCGCAATCTGGTCATGGTCCCAGACTGAACTGTGGGCCCACAACACCATAGACTGGATTTCCCAGTCGAGAGATAACCCCACGGAGCAGGAAACAATTGGGACCAACCTCAGGTTACCCAGACATCCCCTGGAAAAGACTCGGGTTCCGCGAGAGCCAGTCCGGACCCAGAGCCGGGACACAGGCGCCTGCCTGCGCACCTGATTAGCTGCCTCAGATAGAACTGTGGGCACCAGGGCACAAGACTGCATGTCTCTGGCAGGAGGAAATCCCCAGCGGAGGGGGTCAGCAGCTCTAACACTTAGGACACCCAGCACCAAAACACTTCCTGGACTCACGCAGACTCTACTGCAGGCAGGAGCGCTGTGCTCTGCCTCCATTATTGAGTTCCCCTAGGGCACTGGGACACACAGCTGCATCCTCAGACCTACAAAAGTCAGAGAGCCATTACAGCAGCCCTCAGATACTGTGCCAAGGATCAACCAGTTATTCCTAGCTAGACTGTCAAAACTGTGGGAATCCCTGGTTTTTCAAGAGGGCTGCACCCACAGCGTCTGGACCACAGCAGTGCCTGCAGCTGTCATCCCAGACAGAGACACACAGCTTCTGGTCCAGAGTGAGGCAACCAGCCTCCAGACCAGAACAGTGCCCCCAGGCGACAACTCACCCTAGGTGCACATTCTCCAGGTCCAGAGCAGAGCAATCAGCCTCTGGCCCAGAGACTTGCTGAGTGCACCTCCCACTTTCCCGGACAGAACTGTGCGCCCCAGGATAACAGACTGAGGTTCCCTGTTGGGAGAAAACCCCACAGCTAGGGATTCAGCAGTTTCTTCAAGAGGACTGTACATGGATATTTAGTGAGCAGCAGCACACTAAATTTATAACAAGAAACCCAACAGTGGGGCAGCTGTCTTGAGAAATTCTATGGGTAAGAGGAGATCCCCCCCATGCCTAACATAGACCACAGCTACTACTCAGGGCTATAAACCTGAGGTGAGCAGTGGCAACTCCTGAGAAACACTGGCCATACAGTGACCATAACGAAAAAGCAGAGAAGGACTCCTACAGGAAAAATCATCTTCCGGCCAAGGGGATACTCCCTACCTCAGGACTCCAGGAAGCACAGAAACTAACAGCCAACACCTAAATCAGCCCAATGGGTAGAGGTCAGCGTAAAGGCTCAACCAACAAAAGACAGAGCAATATGGCATCTCCAGAACCCAGCCATCCAGAGGTGAACAGCCCTGAACAATGCAGCATAATAGAAAATCAAGAAGATGACCTTACATCTATGTTGATGAAGAACATAATAGAGGAAACAGATGAAATACATAAAGAATTAGAGGAAGATAAAACCAAACAGATCATGGCTATCCGTAAAGAAATGGAGGAAGATAAAGACAAGCAGATTAGGGCCATCCGTGAAGAAATACGGGAAGATGCAACCAAACAGCTTGTGGCCTTCAGAGAAGAAATAATTAAATCACTGAAAGAAATCAAAGAGACAGAGTTGAAGGAACTAAAAGAAAAAGAGGAAAATACAAGCAGACAGGTGAAGGAAGTAAACAAAACAACTCAAGACCTGAAGATAGAACTAGAAATATTAAAGAAAACACAAATGGAGGAAATAATGGAGAGGAAGAATTTAGGGAAGAAAACAGGAACAGCAGAGGTAAGCATAACCAACAGAATACAAGAAATGGAAGAAAGAATCTCAGGTATAGAAGATACAATGGAAGAAATCGACATATCTGTCAAAGAAAATGTTAAATCCAAAAAAATTCCTGACACAGACCGTCCAGGAAATCCAAGACAATATGAAAAGACAAAATCTAAGAATAATAGGAATAGAGGAAAAAGAAGACTCCCTTCTCCAAGGCCCAGAAAATATTTTCAACAAAATCATTGAAGAAAATTTCCCCAAGTTAAAGGAGAAGCCAATAAGGATACATGAGGCCTACAGAACACCCAACAAATTTGACCAGAAATGAAAATCCTCCTGCCACATAATAATCAAAACAGTAAGTATACAGAACAAAGAAAAAATACTAAAAACTGCAAGGGAAAAAGGCCAAGTAACATATAATGGCAAACCCATTAGAATCACACCTGACTTTTCAACAGAAACTATGAAAGCCAGAAGGGCCTGGACAGATATCATGCAGACCCTAAGAGAACACAGATGTCAACCCAGGATACTATACCCTGCAAAACTCTCAGTCCTCATAGACGGAGAAAACAAGATATTCAATGACAAAAACAAATTTCAACAATACCTACACACAAATCCAGCATTACAGAAGATACTGGAAGGGAAAATACAACCCAAGAAAATTAGCTTCTGTCAAGAAAACACAGGAAATAATTAACCTTACTACAGTAAAACAAAAAGCAACCAAGCACACAACCTTATGAACACAGCCAACATCAAAATCAAAGGATCTAACAGCCACTGGTCATTAATCTCTCTCAACATCAATGGACTCAACTCTCCAGTAAAAAGACACAGATTAACACAATGGATACATAAACAAAACCCAGCAATCTGTTGCATACAAGAAACACACCTAAGACACAAAGATAGACATTACCTGAGGGTAAAAGGTTGGAAGACGATTTTCCAAGCAAATGGACCCAAGAAACAAGCAGGAGTAGCCATTCTAATATCTGATAAAACAGACTTTCAACCAAAATTAATAAAAAGAGATGAGGAAGGACACTTCATACTCATCAAGGGAAAATTCCACCAGGAAGACATCACAATCCTGAACATCTATGCCCCAAATACAAGAGCACCCACATTTGTAAAAGAAACATTGATAAAATTTAAACCACATATAGATCCCCACACATTAATAGTGGGAGACTTCAACACCCCACTCTCAACAAAGGACAGGTCAACAAAACAGAAATTAAACAAAGAAACAATATCTCTGACAGAGGTCATGAATCAAATGGACCTCACAGACATTTACAGAACTTTACACCCAAACACAAAAGAATTTACCTTCTTCTCAGCACCTCATGGAACCTTCTCCAAAATAGACCATATAGTTGGTCACAAAGCAAGCCTCAACAGATACAAGAAGACTGAAATAATCCCTTGTATCCTGTCTGATCACCATGGAATAAAGCTGGACTTCAACAACAACAGAAATAGCAAAAAGCCTACACACACATGGAAACTGAACAACTTGTTACTAAATGACAGCTGGGTCAGGGAAGAAATAAAGAAAGAAATTAAAGCCTTTCTAGAACTCAATGAAAATGAAGACACAACATACCCAAACTTGTGGGACACAATGAAAGCAGTGCTAAGAGGAAAGTTCATAGCACTAAGTGCCTTCAAGAAGAAATTCGAGACAGCTCATTCAAGCAACTTAATGGCCCACTTAAAAACCCTAGAAAAAGAAGAAGCAGACACACCAAAAAGGAGTAGACGGCTGGAAATAAGCAAACTCAGGGCTGAAATCAATCAATTAGAAACAAATAAAACAATTCAAAGACTCAATGAAACCAAGA